AGTTAATGGTCAACACTAGGCAATAGTTACCAAAATATGGGGAGAATCAGTATCAGAGCCAGAATCCACATACAGAGCCATAGAACACAAAGACAACCCTAACACAAAGACGTTCAAAGGTCGATATGGGAATATTTACCATGAAAGACAAGATATCAAAAGGGACTGGTCACAGAGTATTGGTACATAATGTGACTAGAAATGAAAGGAAAAACAAAAACCTTATCTAAGGAAAGAGGAAATTTCACATAACAGCTACCTAATCAAAGTACAAGCTCAAAATTGTCATTATACTATTTAAAGTTTTACTCATAAAGAAATAAGTAACCCTTAACAAATTTTTAATGATTAACAAATAGTCTCTTAATTCCATTTCATTTAGATCAATTTTTTAATCTATGCCATCCCATAGTTGAAATCAGGGGTCCCCAACCTTTTTGAACTTGCAGGCATTATTAGTATTCCGACAGAGGGTGGTGGATGCACCCACAAAATAGCTGTTGTAGGAGACAGAGCCAATGACAAAATGGCTGTTGCAGTAGATAGAGCCAACCACAAAATGTCAGGGAGTGAGATGATGCATAACTCTAATAGCAGCTCTTCAATATTTCAGGCAGAAGTTCTGTAACAGATTGCCTTTTAAAATTAACATATTGCTTAAAAATATTTTCTTCCATACACACAGCTTCACTGCATGATTGAAGGTAAGATTTTTGTGTTGTGATGGCAGCTGCTTCCAAAGCAACTTTTAAAAAATCTGTACAGCCAATTAGATATCCAGTGGCCAATCAGAAGCCTTGCTGGGTAAAAGCCCCACCAAACCATGCCCACTTTCTGAAAACACTTGGCGGGCACCAGGAAAGGTGTTAGTGGGCACTGGGGACCCCTGGTCTAAATATTCCTTCAGTAAGTTGACACCTTGGAATTAAGGTTAATTTTAACAGTTTGAACAGCTTTTTTGCTTTTACCCAGCTCAGAGCTTAAGACTGCAGACTGGAAGGTTGGTACCTCGGCAGTTCAATACCCTAGTGCTGTGTGACGGAGTGGCCCCAGTTCCTGCCAACCTAGCAGTTCGAAAGCAAAAAATTGCAAGTAGATAAATAGGTACCACTTCGGTGGGAAGGTGTACAGGGTTTAGCCCACCCAAGCCAGTCCAGGGATGGGAGGGAATCCTGTACTTTTCAGTACATTAAACAATCCACGAGACAGTCTGTACCATCTCTGGTCTTCACAACAATTTGCCACCAGAACCTCTTTTCACTAGTCCCTGCCTTTCCTAAGGGAGAGATTCCAGCCCTCAGTTAGCATCTGGGATTTAACACATTAGCAACTCAATCTAGAGATGCACACTTTTACTCTTTACCAAGGTAGCATATGTGGTCAGGGTTAGGCACCAGGCTTAGACTTGGAATTCAGTTACAACATCAAAGACAAATTAGCAATAAGAAGGATCTTTATTCAGTACAGAACTTAGCATAGACTACTAGAGATTACAAAAATAACAAAGGCTAGTGCTGTTTGCCTTAACTACACATTGAAGATACATAGTTACCACATCAGAAACATCCACAGTCCAGAATAGTCCAAGGGATTTTGAATGGAAATCCTATTTTTGCACACCATGTGCTCCAAGTCACAAAGCAACTCTTTGTCTCTCAAGAGGCAGCATTTCAGGTGCAATCAAACAGACAATGACCAGAGGAGAGAGCAGAGCAAAAAGCAAGAGAGCTCACTCCCATAGGGATCAAACAATTATACCCCAATTCCAGTCACAAATTAGATGTGACCATCAGCCAATTGTGAGTGGGCATGGGTGTGCCCAATTGTTGGTTGCCATAGCTGCGTGTGGGGATAGGCTATAAGTTTGGGACCCCGCCTGCAGTCATGTGACCCAAACTCCAGCTACTTCATTGTGTACGTGACTGGTCGTAAGTGGGCCAGAAAGTGTAGCCATGAGGTCTGGCTTTTGGCATGAAAGTGTGAAAGAATGTGGGTTTATGGCATGGCTATTGAGGCCATGTGGCCTCACCATTTGGCTTGCAACAGGAAACAAGACACAGCATGTTATCAAAAGACATCACAGGAGAAGTCTTGTGAATATAGAAGCAATATTCCTATACAGAAGGTAACAGCGTTCCGTGCACTTCGGCGTTTAGTCATGCTGGCCACATGACCACAGACAGCGCTGGCTCTTTGGCTTGGAAACGAAGATGAGCACCACCTCCTAGAGTCGGATTCGACTGGCTTTCAAGCAAGGGAAACCTTTACCTTTACCAATCTTCAACTGATGGTCAATGTTCTGACTTCCATATTTTTGCAAAGACAAAGTCTTGCCACTGTCAATAAATATAAAACAATGGTGTCATATCGTTTAGAAATTAAGATTATACAACTGAAAAGCCACTGATGGTATTCTAAATACCTTAGTCCCAAACACTTTTGCCCTGTCACAATACTACCACATGTGAAGACAAATGCAATAAAATAAAATAAAATAAATTTCTTATAAAACCAACAATTGCTGCTAGCATTACTAGCATTACTTGCCAGTCCCTGGGTGGGGGATCCCCTGCTCTTGTGGCCTTTTTTGTGGGAAATCCCACCCCCAGACATCCCTGAGCAATGTCGGCAACACAATAATATCACTTCCAGAAGTGATATCATTGCATCAGTGACGCTGGGGGCGACACTCTATTTTTTAGGCAAAACTCTGGTTTGTAGCCATTTCTACTACAAAGTTTTGCCCCAAAAGTGGAGTGTCGCCCCAACATCGCTGACACGATGACGTCGCTTCTAGAAGTGACGTCACCGACGTCCCTGCCCACCACTGGAATGCCCCTGAAATCCCCCTGCTGGCACGAGGTAGGCACCTGGCAACCCTACTATAGATGCTTGCTATTCTAAGTAATGACAGAGGCCATTCATGTAACATCTTACATATGTAAGACCCTTAAGTGGAAAGGAGCCAAAACTTGTAGACTTTTGGTGTAAGATTGAGATGCTTTTCAAAGACTTTGTGCAATTTATTCACTGACCTGAGTTGTTCTGGTACAAGGAGGACGGAAGCAGCCCTGACTGGGCCACTGCACACTTGGAAGCCTCCAGCTGTGGATGACCCAATTTCACCTGCCTGGATGGGGGCTTGGAACAGGTGAACCCAACTGGGTAGTCATAGCTATACTGCAGTAAACTAGCTGGCAGATGAAGCCCAGCTAGTAAGTCATCCAACCCAGAAGCGGGGGGGGGGGGGAGCACAGCTGCCTTGGAGCATATGGGGGAGGCAGACAATTGTCTAAACTGGATGGATTTACAGACCTGTTGCAATAACTCTGTCCCCTGCCCTAGATTGGGAGCCACTGATCTTTTATTATCTGTATGCTAATGTGCTGCTATTTCACAGGTTTTACCAACTGCTTTAATCCAATCTTAACTGTACTTATCACTCAGTTACTTATGCAACTTGATTCTAATTAGCCCATCCTGGCAACTAACCCCTCCCCCACCTATATGTAATGGTTGAGGAAGTCTCTTTCACTGTATCTGAAGAAGTGTAAATGCACATGAAAGCTTATACCCAGAATTAAACTTTGTTGGTCTTAAAGGTGCCACTGGATTCAAACTTTGTTCTGTTGCTTCAGACCAACATTGCTACACACCTGAATATATCAAAAGTAGTAGTCCCTCTTTCAAACTGCCTTCAACTCTGTGAAAAGGTTATTGTATGTCACTGCATGCCCTTTGAACAGTCACAGTCTCTTGGACTGATCCTGTGAAGCAGGGTTGGCAATTATTGAAATTAAAAATGCCACTCTAGGCAGTACCTGAGGATGGAGCTTTTGAATCAAGAGCAGCCCAGAGCTAGCACTGTGCTGCCCCGCAGCAAAACACAGTAGGTTTTGGCAGCTTAGGGTGTAGCCCTACAGAAAATCTAGTTACCTAAGGAATTCAACTTTAAAAAATAACCTAAGGCTAATACAAATGGCCTTGTACTTATTTTTCTAGCACTGCCCCCAAAGCAAACAGCATCAAAGTCAATTTACTTTAACATAAGAACATAAGAGACGCCAATGTTGGATCAGGCCAAAGGCCCATCCAGTCCAACATTCTGTGTCACACAGTGGTCAGAAATACCAGGTGCCATCAGGAGGTCCACCAGTGGGGCCAGGACATTAGAAGCCCTCCCACTGTTGACACCCCCCCCAAGCACCAAGAAGACGGAGCATCACTTGCCCCAGAGCCCTATCTATACCTTGTGGCTAATAGCCACTGATGGACCTCTGCTCCATATCTCCCTTATAAATAAAAGCCGAATGGTGGTGGCACTTCTCTAGAACATTCCACACGCTCCAAAATCAGTTTGCTCTCTGATCTGTCATTCAGAGGGTCTCCCTATCCACTGGCTGCTTTGCCTGAGTCCTGCCTCCAACATTCTAAACAGTTTCTTCCTCTCCCCCCACAGCCAGTCAGAACACAGAGGTTATTTGCATATGCAGCCTCATTGGCCTTTGCCTCGGAACACAGAGGTCGGACTCCACCCTCCACCCTAATGCAATACATAATTGAGCAAACTTCAGAGGACGCGGAAGACAGGAAGGCCTGGCGATGCTGGCTTGATCTGGTCTATGGGGCCTCGAAGAGTCGGACTCGACTGTGCGACTGAACAACAACAATGCAATACATACTAATAATTCATGCACGCAAGGGCCTTTATCGTCCATGAGGCTTCCTTCGAGTACTGCAAATGTGCATTCAAGAAACACCCAAATCAAACACGTTTAAAATTATTGCGACGCCAAAGCTCAGCTGTACAGCTCAACCTATACCTGTTCTGAGCCGCTCACACAACGCCCGCCCGCCCACTCCCCACACGTCGCGCCACCGCAGACTCCCCACCGCTGAGGCCCTGGTGACGAAAGGGCTGGGGGGGCGGGCGGGAGGGAGTAGTCTCACGTAGCCAATGAGAGCGCGAGGGCCTGGCACGGTGCGCGAGACGGCTTTGAGTTTCGGAGAGGCTGAAGCTTGGACTGATCGCAACAGAACTGGAAGTAGGTCTCGGACGGCATCATGAGTAGCGCTGGGGAAGCGGTCGTGCTGGTTGCTGCTGCAAGGACCCCGGTTGGTAAGTGGGAGAGCGTGCGATCTGGACGATTATTATTGTTGTACTGCCGTGCACTACTTAGAGCGGGCGGATTAATCGAGTGCGATGATACCGTCGAATAATCCCTCCCTTCAAGGGCTTGATTTCTTCGCGGAACGGGCTTCCCTCGTCTCGTCTTCCCCCACCGTGTACCACCTAACAATACTGGAGATACCTTGTAGCTTGTTCTGATCGTCCTGAAAGGTGAGAGAAGAAAAAGACGGCAGGTTGAAGTTTAGGAGGAGCGCAGCCGCTTCAAGCTAATGGCTCACTTTTAGCGCCGCAGTAAGGATGCTGAGAGACGCTGTTGATGCCTGAAGCAGCAACTGCCTGGACATACAATAATAATGTTTCTTATGGTGGAAGAATGGAAGAATGTTGGAAAGTAGAGATATGCTAGCCTGTAATGGTTGAAAGAGTATGGACGTATGTAGGATTGCCTTCACAATAATAAATGTGGGTGGTTTTCTTGAGGCATTTGTTACCAAAACATCTCTTTTATCCATACAGTCTGGAATCTTTACAAAAGCAATTGCCCTGAAACCCCAAGATCTAAGTCATTTTTATTTTTGCTTTCTGAGTCCCGGCGCTTGCAGGGGATAGAGGTAGGTGCTGCACTCTTGAGTGCCTTACTCAAGAGCAATCCCATTGATTTTAGTGAGATTGTTCCAGAGTAAATGACTCATCCCGATTTCCCGATGCCAAGATTTACCCTGTATGCTCTGAAATCCCCAAGATCTAAGTCATTTTTTATTTTTATTTTGCTTTCTGAGTCCCTGCGCTTGCAGGGGATAGAGGTAGGTGCTGCACTCTTGAGTGCCTTACTCAACAGCAATCCCATTGATTTCAGTGAGATTGTTCTAGAGTAAATGACTCATCCCGATGCCAAGATTTACCCTGTATGCTAATATCAGCCGGGAGGAAACTAAGAGAACAATGTGACCATTGGAAGCTCCTCCCTCGCCTGTGCTGTGCCCTCAGTGATTGGACAGTGACTGTAGAGCCACCATGTGGAGCTGCGCTGTGATTGCTTAGTGGGCGTTTCTGATGAGTCATTCTTGCTCGGATTGGGCCAGGGCGAGTAGTGCCATAGGAGCGGGTTTACCGTCTGTTTTCTCATTCATTTTGCAGAGCCAGGGATGCGAGTCTAGTTAAGTGTTGTTATGTTATTCCACTTTGGTCCTTGCATCTGTTAAACACCTTTATTATGCTGTATGCTAATTAGCTGCTCACCCTCTACCTATATGTATGGACTGGTAACTTTCATTTCAGTGTATCTGAGGCAGTGTGTGAGTGCACAGGAAAGCTTGTATCATGAATAAAACTTTGTCAAGTAGTGCCATAGGAGCGCGCTTACCGTCTATTTTCTCATTCATTTTGCAGAGCCAGTTAAGTGTTATGTTATTCCACTTTGGTCCTTGCATCTGTTAAACACCTTTATTATGCTGTATGCTAATTAGCTGCTCACCCTCTACCTATATGTATGGACTGGTAACTTTCATTTCAGTGTATCTGAGGCAGTGTGTGAGTGCACAGGAAAGCTTGTATCGTGAATAAAACTTTGTTGGTCTTAAAGGTGCCACTGGACTCAAACTTTGTTCTGCTGCTTCAGACCAACATGGCTACCCACCTGAGTGTATTTGACAGATAGGTTTGAGTCTAGTAGCACTTTAGAGACCAGAGTTTCAGGATTTAAGTCCTCAAGACTCAAAGCTCCCTTCGTCAGACAGAGTATATTTGCCAGTGACCAAATACCTAAACCAGAAGTTAGCGACCTTTTAAAGTGAAAGATTCAAACTACCTCACTTGGACTGCTAGCAACGATTCACTTGTATCATTTCTTGTTCTGTAAAGCATTTCTAGGAAGCCTACAAAAGTTATGCTATAATACTTTTTTAACCTTCCACCTGATTCTTCTTTTTTTGGCTTTTTACCTCTGTTGACTGATTCTGCTGGAATTTGTATCCACCTCAGTCCAAAGTACATTAACTTGTAAACAGGCCTTTCCCTTGGACTTAACATTGACTGGGAACTGATTTATATGGCTCTATGCCCTATTGAGCTGCGGTGGCTCAAGTGGTTAAGACGCTGAACTGCAGGCTGTGGAAGGTCAGTAGTTCAGTTCGAGACCCGGGTGCCGCATGATGGAGTGAGCTCCCATCTCTAGTTCCAGCTCCTGCCAACCTAGCAGTTCGAAAGCAAGAAATTGCAAGTAGATAAATAGGTACCACTTCGGTGGGAAGGTAACAGCATTCCGTGCACCTTGGTGTTTAGTCATGCCGGCCACATGACCACGGAAACGTCTTCGAACAGCGCTGGCTCTTCGGCTTTGAAACGGAGATGAGCACCGCAACCCTAGAGTCGGATTCGACTGGCTTTCGAGCAAGGGAACCTTTACCTTTATGCCCTATTTGTTGGCCTCCAAGGCAGTTCATTGGCCACTGTGTGAATCAGTGGACTAGTTGGATCACTGGTTTGATCTAGAAGGGCATTTCTTATATATATTGCTAAAATTATTTAAGTAGATGGGATAGTTCCAGAGGTGGTAACACTACTGGCCTGCTATAGCTAAAACAGCATGTTAATACCAGAATTGAGGCCTCCAAGTGTTTTGATTCCCCACATAGTAAAACTTGAACACTGGGTGAGAATTGACAGTGGATGAAATGGAATAAAATGCAGGTGGTCACTTTCAGATACTTTTACCAAATGATGTCGTGTAAGCAAGTTTATGTGTTCTTTAACTAGACATCACATTTGTTTTTATATTCAGTATTTCAAGCTGCAGTCTTATGCATTTACTTGGAGCAAACTTCACTGAAAGGGACTTCTAAGTAAAAATACTGTAAATGACATGGCTACTCAATGAGAGTTTCATGGTATAAGCTTTTGAGAGTCAAAGGTTCCTTCGTTAGACATGAGCAGAAATGCTTCTTGGGGAAATAATGGAATGGGCATATGCCTGTCTTTGATCTAAAATGTTTTATTTAGGATCCTTCAGTGGTACATTGTCTACCTTGCATGCCCATGAGCTCGGTTCTGTAGCTGTGAAGGAAGTCTTGAAGAGGGCAAATGTCAAGCCTGAAGAAGTATCTGAAGTTATATTTGGCCAAGTCTTGGCAGCAGGTATATCTTTTAATCTAATCCCGGATTTTATTCTGGACCCTTTCCTCTGCAAATATTTACAATACGTGGACAGAATGTGCATTTATGTCATGAATCACAGCTATTGAAATTCTGTCATTCTGCAGTCCATTTTTCTTATCTCATCTAAAAATGGTATACCAAAAGCTAGTAACCTGAATATCTTTGATACAGCAGCAGATATTTTTTCTGTGGTCTTGTCATCCACATCCTTCTGTAACAAATAGGATTTCAGGTGAGGCACAATAGATGGGAAGGAGGCAGATGACAGGACCAATGTTCCCTCTAAGCTGTGGAGTCTTGTGAGCAAAAATTCTACTTTGTGAGCTACTGGCATAAAAGCTGTGAGTGAGTGGTTTGGCTACTGCATAAATTAGTTTGCTCTGGAGCCCTCCTTCCTAAGCGGAGACAAAAATGTGTGAGCCGGAGGCTGAAAAACGGTGAGCTAGCTCACACTAACTCAGCTTAGAGGGAACACTGGACAGGACCAGAAGAAATACGCAACAGTTGTCTTGCCTTCTGCTTCAATGAGAACTTCAAGGTTACAGCCTAGTTAAGCAGTCAACCCTACTTATAAATTTGATTATTAGGTTTCATTTCATTTTATTTTATTAGTCTTGTATCCCGCCCTACCCCGCGAGCAGGCTCAGGGCGAGTTCCATCAGTATTAATACAATATAGTACAATTTAAAAATAATTTAAAACAGCAAGTTAAAACAACATAGATCATAAAATACTGTGTAAAAATTTGGTCAGATGTGTCAGTAATTTAGATGTGACAGAAGTGTGGGTTCCTAAATGGCTATTCAGATCCAGGCTACTGATAGGAGATCAACTGGGGGGTTGGGGGACGTTTTCCAAGGGAAAACACTGTGTGAAAGCTACTGATAGGAGATCAACTGGGGGGGGAGGTTGGGAGACGTTTTCCAAGGGAAAACACTGTGTGAGAATATGCGAAAACTATTTTTTAATTTATCAAATTTAATTGTAGGGTGAGAATTTCATAACCAAGGTGTGCCACTGAAAATTACCTATTTACGTAACTTGTAGATGATGATGTCAACTGAAATTCCATCAACTCACGATGGTATTTATGAAGAATAACCTCCCTGAAGTATAATGGCATTGTAAGAAGTGAATTCCTTACCCTGAAATGTCTAAATCTAAATTACCCACCTCTAAGCTTTCTGTCCACTTCTTAGCTCTATCGTAACAGCAGAGAAGGGTATCCCTTCCTCTCTCATCCTTTCCCCACAAGCCTAACCCTTGTTGGTATATCTTGTAAACACATCTTCTGCCCTTGTGCACTCCTGCAATGCCACCAACTACATATTTCTTCCATTATACCCTTTGCTGTTACCAGATCATTCAGTTTGGCCCTTCATTCCTACAACATTGTCCCACCCAAATGATCCACCTCCATTGTTTGGCAGCATTCTATAGAGGTTTACCCGCTTTGAGAAGTGCTGAGATGACTGAGTATATTGCCATTTCAAAAGCAGCCTCCAGCTTTTTCATTTAACTGACCATAAAATATCCTGGTAAAGAATGTACCTTTGTTCTAACTGTGGGTGATATGTAATTGCCAGGGGAAGGAATGGTCAGAAAGCAAGCTGATTTTTTGCTTTGACTCATAGAAGATGCCCATTATCTCATTCATTAAATGTAATTGAAAAGTTATCCACAGATTGAGGTGATAGTGAGAATATGCCAGTGCAAGAAAGTTCTAATTGTCCCAAAGGCAAAGCAAGTGCAACCCAGAACATTCAAAATAAAGATAATTTAAGCAACCATAACATGAAGATGTTGAAATATAGGCTTAAGGAACATAATTCGCACACACTTTTCAAAGCTCTCAAAGGAAGAGCTGATTATTAACTTAAAAGCCAAAGTGAATAGTTAATAATGTTGCAGCCAAACAGTTTGTCTCAGTTTGAGGAAGAAAAAAACAACAACCCAGAGAGCAATTTAGACACTGCATATTTTGAGTTCAGTTTTTTTTCTCCAGGTGCCGGTCAGAATCCTGCTCGACAAGCCAGTGTTGGTGCAGGGATTCCATATGCGGTACCAGCTTGGAGCTGCCAAATGATATGTGGTTCGGGTCTAAAAGCTGTATGCCTGGGAGCTCAGTCCATTATGACAGGAGAGTCCAGTGTTGTGGTGGCTGGAGGCATGGAAAGCATGAGCAAGGTGAGACAACAGTGTTATACATGACAGTAAATCAGACCCTTGGACTTCAAATCTGAGGCCTATTAGTATGAAAGATTTAGTTGAGCTCTACACAGGCACTGAGGGAGGGGCTGTTGCCTAGTGGTCGAGCATCTGCTTTGCGTGCGGGTGTGTGTGTGTCAGCGGTTCATTCCCTAATATCGCCGGTTAAAAAAACAAACAAGTAATAGGGGATGTGAAAGATCTCTGTGCAAGAGCTTGGAGAGCAGTCATAAATCTGAGTAGACAATAGCAACCTTGATAGATCTTATACCTATTATTGTGTGGAAGAATTATGCAGAGGTGATAAACATTGAGGAACTCCAGTTTACCAGGTCCTTGTCCAGAGGCTGTCTTGAAATGCTCCAAGATACTTGAATAAGATACAGTTGTTGCACCTTCTACTTATCTACCCTCTTTCCCCACAAGAATTTACTTTTGCTCCACAGCAGACAAGGGAGAAGGGTGGGCGAGTGGGGCAATGGAGGTAGGCTGGCAGGAGAGCTGCAGTAACTGCAGCCTTCCCTGGAGCATTTCATGGCATATGTACCATCTTCAGATGGTGACATGGCAGTTCTAGTTGTTTGGCCTTCTAAAACTGTTTCCAGGGGCTCAGCCTCAGCACAGCAGGGTTGAATAGTGCTTTTCCAAGCAGTTGTGAAGCAGATGTTATGTCCTATAAAGAGTCAAAAATAGTTTTACTTATATTTCTGTGCTGCTCCTGGAAATGTGCTCTTCTATCAGAAGACTTTGTACTATGCAGTACAATCCTAAGCAGTTATACCTTTCTAAGTCAACTAAAGGACAAAAACAAGATTGGAGTCCAGTAGCACCTGTAAGACTTTGTTGGTCTTAAAGGTGTCACGGGACTCAAACTTTGTCCTGCTGCTTCAGACTGTTGTACACATCACTTATGAAACCCTTTGCACTCTGCCACTGACTAAGTCAGTTTAACTTAGTAGGTGCTCTTAATACTTCCATGGTGCATATGTTAAGTGCCTTTGATGATTCTAATCACAGTAACTGAAGTCAATCATGAACATATATTCAGATATTCACTTTGGTTCATTGCTTAAAAGCATTGTGGGTAAAATACTAAATGCTGACAGGCAATCATACTGCAGTGACTTTGCTTGATCTTGCCAGTTGTAATTGTGCATGTCCCTGATATCAGTTTGCTTGCGTTAGATGGAGAACACTGCATGATGTACTAATATTTGTTACAATTAGATACTTTTTAGAATTTCACAGCCTAGGAAGAAGAAAGCCTATTGTTCAACTGAAGAAGGTATATTTTTGCCTGGGAAAATCCAACCCCCAGGTTGGATTCCCAGTCAGAATGGTGTGACGGATATGTGACAAACTTTGACTGCAGCAAGATCTGATTCTCCTCTACAAGACTGCCGTGTGCTTTCTCAAATTGGGCTGGGGGAGCACAACCTTTGACGGAGTTTCTGTCTTACAAGACCAACACAGCTACTCACTAGAATCTGTTTAGGAGTGCACTGCTACTCAGCTTGCATTGTTAAATGTTTCTTCTTTATTGGTTTTTCACTGATGTTCATTAAAAGAACCAAACAAAACTCTTGTCACTGATTGTTAAGCAGGATGGCACCACGTTATTTTAAATTAATAATGCAATTAATATATACGTTAAATACTTACATAAATGGTGGACAACTTGCCCTATTCCAACCCTCCTTTGGAAAACAAAAGAAGCAGCTTAATTTTAATGAGATGCCTGTTACTTATAATCCATAAATGGAAAAAGTACTGCTGGAGCTGTTCACTTGTCACTGTTAGGGTTTGGTTTATGTGTATGAGTTTTTAGGCCCAAGTCAGAAAAGACTGACTAAATGAGCCGCAGGGGCTATGATACAGGCTTCATTGTGATGCCTCACTATCTTCTCTGTGAAACAAGTTTTGCAGGTTTTTGAAACACAAAATCATGTGGAGAAGTTTATAGTGGATGAGTGTACACATCACAGACAACAATACCATTTTTAGTTCTTAGGGGAAGCATTACTGTCTATATCCAGCCTAAAATATTAGACCCTCTCTGCTTGTTAAAAGAATTGCTTTTTTATTTAAATGAACTAGCCTAGAGCTAGTTCACATTGGGGAGTGGATGATCCTCCTCTATAGTGGTGATTCTTTCTTGTAAATCTGAAGAGTAGAAGATTCATGTAGTGATGAAGAGCTGGGAAGGGGTGGTTTTTATTCTGGATTTCTAAACGTGTCAAAACGCTTTACTTTCAGGCACCGCACATCATTCATATGCGCAGTGGCGTGAAGATGGGAGATGCCTGTTTGCAGGACAGTATTATCTTAGATGGTTTGACAGATGCCTTTTATCACTACCACATGGGTATAACTGGTAAGTTGTGGGAGTCTTTAAAATGACATAGGTTGGCCAAGAAACATAGGCTGGTGGAAAGAGTATTACATACATTTGTGTGCAACTGTCTTAGACCTTTTCCTCACCTCAGTGTTGCCACTGTTTCCCGGCGAGTTAAATCCCCAGCTGATGCTCCGACTTTGCAGCACCCCTTGCACAAAAGGGCATTTGTTTCAGGGATTTTTTTTCTTGAATTCGGATCCGACCCTCCCCATGTATTCTGCGCTTCCTTTGAAAAAGGGTTGTGCGGCCGTGTTGTCATGTATTTCATCAGCGACAGAACCTCCTCTTCTTTTTTGTGCATGTGCAGTAATGTTATAATATCAAAACATTGTGTAAAAAATAGAAAAGAAAGGCTGGATGTATCGTGGGGAACAACAGGGTTGCTGCCATTTGAAAGGATCCCCACTCGTCCTTAGACACCAACTAAGAAAATGGTTGGCGACCATCAAACTGGATACATCAATTCATAACACTGCTATTCAGTAATTATGAAGCATGCTAAATGTGTCATCAAGTACTTCATCTGCAACAGAACCTTCTTTTTTGCATGTGCAGTAATGTTATAACAATATAACATTGTAAAAAAATGCTGGATGCATCATGGAGAACAGCATGGTTGCCGCCATTTCAAAGGTCCCCTGCTCCTCCTTAGTCGCCAACTAAGAAAATAGCTGGTGATCATCAGATGAGATACACCAATTCATAACAGTGTTATTCAATAATTATGAAGCACACTAAATGTGTTCTCATGTACTTAGCAATGGAACCTCCTTTTTTTGCATATGCTGTTATAACATCAAAACATTGTAAAAAAAAAAGGAAAACACACCAGGAGTTATTGGGGAAGAGAAGGGGGTGGGGAATGAAGAAACAATACAAGCACGTGGCATCAAAACATACCATCACCACCCTCCACTGAAAGTAAAGGAACTTCATGGATTTGTAATTGCACTGCGGTGGCTCAAGTGGTTAAGACGATGAACTGCAGGCTGTGGAAGGTCAGTAGTTCAGCAGTTCGAGACCCGAGTGTTCCGCATGACGGAGTGAGCTCCCGTCTCTAGTTCCAGCTCCTGCCAACCTAGCAGTTTGAAAGCAAGAAATTGCAAGTAGATAAATAGGTACCACTTTGGTGGGAAGGTAACAGCGTTCCGTGCGCCTTGGCATTTAGTCATGCCGGCCACATGACCACGGAAACATCTTCGGACAGCACTGGCTCTTTGGCTTTGAAACGGAGATGAGCACCGCAACCCTAGAGTCGGACTCGACTGGCTTTCGAGCAAGGGAACCTTTACCTTTACCTTTTTAATTGCATGGAGGAGGCTACATGGAACCTCACTGCCCATTTTGTCCCAATGTTATAATGTTGCTATATTGCAATTTTAAAAAATCACCTAGCGCAGTGTTCCCTTTAAGCTGTGGAGTCTGGTGAGCAAAAATTCTACTTTGTGAGCTACTGGCATTAAAGTTGTGGCTACAGCATAAATTAGTTGGCTCTGGAGCCATCCTTCCTGAGCTAAGACAAAAAATGTGTGAGCTGGAGGCTAAGAAACTGAGCTAGCTCACACTAAATCAGCTTAGAGGGAACACTGGTTGCAACACAATCAACATTACACTTTTAAAAAATTAGCAGATTGCTCAGGAGACAACTTGGGATGGGTGGGAGGGGGATGAATATGCAACAGTAAAGACACAAAAGAGCAACGGGAAACAACATTCAAAATCGGGCACTCCTCACTGGAAAACGGCAAGTTCAGATCTGAAAGGGGGGGAGGGAATAGCAGAAAAAGTAGATTTGGAAAACACAGGATAACAGGGTACTAAATTTGGATCTACTCCTGGGGAGGCAGAAAGTTGTGTGGAAAGTTTTACAAGCTTTGATTATTTAAGAATGCCGATGCAGATGTTTGCACTTGTGCGGAGATGGTCTTAAGAGACATAAATTTGTTTTTACTTATCTGTGACTTAAAGCAAAACAAAAATCAGAAGCAGTTATCACTAAATATTAGAAATACAGCTCTATATTCCTCTATTATTTTACTGCATTCAGTGCCTGTTTTGCAGGCATCATCATTCCAACCAAACCCTGATAGCCATATATATTTGAAAGTTTCCTTTATTTTCTGTTTCAGCTGAAAATGTGGCCAAGCAATGGAAAGTCAGTCGAGAGGAGCAAGACCATCTGGCTGTAAACTCGCAGAACAAGGCTGAAAATGCTCAGAAGGCTGGCTATTTTGAGAAAGAGATTGTCCCTGTTCTTGTTCCTTCTAGGAAAGGTGTGTGCATGCATGCTTCCTGGCTTCATTTCCCCCCTCTGTAATGGGACATGATAATAAGGCTTAACGAGTTTATTATCACTGAGTTAGAGAAAAACTCAATTATGTAACTCAAAAATGTTTCTAAGTAGTTTAGATAAAAAGAGGGAGAAAAGCTAATGTTATGCTTCATAAGGATTCATGGATTAACTAAGAAGTGTTGTTCTAGTACATTTAGTTGAAATCTAATATATTGGCTATGGATCAGAGTCCTAGCATTCTCTTGTGCACATACAGAGTCCCTGTATGGGCTTTTTGTAGGTAAGTGTAAGGTGATGCATACAGGATCAAAAAAAAAAAAAGATGTTCACAAACATCTCACCAGGCATCATAATTTAAATCCACACTAGGAAAGTATCCAGAGCTCTTTAGGTTTCAGTTCAATTGCTAAACATTGCCTTAAAGCAATGACCTTTATGCAAGGATTCTGCTTTTTTAAGCAAGTGTATCTATATATATGGGGCTGCAGTGGCTCAAGTGGTTAAGATGCTAAACTGCAGACTGGAAGGTCGGTAGTTCAGCAGTTTGAGACCCGAGTGCCGCAAGACGGAGTGAGCTCCCGTCTCTGGCCCCAGCTCCTGCCAACCTAGCAGTTTGAAAGCAAGAAATTGCAAGTGGATAAATAGGTATTGCTTTGGTGGGAAGTTAACAGCGTTCCGTGCGCCTTGGCATCTAGTCATGCTGGCCACGTGACCACGGAAACGTCTCTGGACAGTGCTGGCTCTTCAGCTTGGAAACGGAGATGAGCACCGCATCTTAGAGTCAGAAAGACTGTCTGTCTGTCTGTCTATCTAGCTATTTAAAGAGGGGTAATGATTGAGCATTTTGTTTTGGGAAAAGTTCGTCATTAACTAAAAGGAAATATTTTTAATTTTAAAAAACCTCTTGCATAGATATGTCTCTGTGCCTCATTTTAAATATACAGTGACTACTGTGATATTACTTGCTGCTTTGCTTTTGCAGGTCCTGTTGAAGTTAAAGCAGATGAGTACCCCCGCCATGGTAGTAACTTAGAAGTGATGGCAAAACTAAAGCCTTACTTTGTGACAGATGGAACAGGAACTGTGACTGCAGCAAATGCTTCAGGTTTGTTTGTGGACAGCTTTGAAAAAAGGATGTGGCAGAATGGTCCTGTTCAGACCCTGCCCTCCTGGGTTTTCCTAGTACTTGGAGGGGCTTTCCTTTATCTTCTGTTCAACCGCCAATACCACCCAACCTTTGCAGGAATTGCCCACTGGGTGGGTCAAGACTCCCAGCTTCCCTTCCGAGTTCTGAGGCCTTGCCTCTGTGTCTCATGCTACCCAGCACCTGGTCACCACAGGGACAACTTACTGCTTGGTGCACTACTGGGGGAGTAGCCACTTGCCAACTGACTGCCCTTCCCTTCCTCCTGGCACTCCATTTAAAATAGTGTGTCCAAGACGGTGGAGGTCTAGGTGACACAGAGAACGTCTACTGGAAACAAAAGTTACAAAGCATTTTTTTACTAGTACAGAAGATAGATTTTAATAAATAGTAATTCTTAGTATAACCAGTAGGTGGATTCAGAAACCTGCAGTGCATATGTGATATCTGGTGTATGTAGTGTGTAGCTTATAGTGTAGTGTGTGTGCATTTATTTTTCAAGAAAATGTTCACAGGCATACTTTTAGCCCCACACCAGATTAAGGAAGGGATTCAAAAGAAGGGGTAAAACACAGTTCCTCTGTCCCTCCCTCCAATGCTCCCTCTAAGATGTGGAGTCTTGTGAGCAAAAATTCTACTTTGTGAGCTACTGACATTAAAGTTGTGAGTGCATGATTTGGCTGCTGCATAAATTAGTTTGCTCTGGAGCCATCCTTCCTAAGACAAAAATGTGGGAGCCAGAGGCTCAAAAACTGTGAGCTAGCTCACGCTAACTCATCTTAGAGGGAACACTGCGCTCCCTCTATACCTGCCTGATCAGGCTCTTTCAGGTGTGCAGACCAGCACATGGCAATGGCCGCCTTTCACAGACCTCAGGTAAGAGTTCTGTCTGCCTTGCTGGAATCAGCACAGAGAACCTTCCTACTTGCTCCCAGGAGCTCTATCATTTCTCTTTTCCGCACCCACTGACCAGGGCAGGCTGGGTCAAAGAAGCTTTTCCTGAAGTCTCCAGGAGTTTCTTCCTGAAATCTTTCTAATCTTAATTCCTCCAAATCTCTGTTTCCTACTGGGGGAGGGGAGCTTGACTATTCCATTATCTCTAGCTGGACCTATTAGCATTTCTTAAAAGGTGGCTGAGGTGAGACTGGGAAAGCAATTGAATTGACTTCCCCCTTCTTGCCTTTTATCGGCCCAGAGAGCAAAACATTTTAAAATTCAAAGTGAAAAATGCATTTCTTCACAGGGTGCATGAAGGTATCAGTTTAAAGAGTTTATCTTTTGTTTCGCTTCAGATAGGTGAAATGGAAAATGTGGATAATGTGTGACATATGGAGAACTGTTTCAGAATTTTAAGAGTTTGTGTTTTATTCTGGAAATTAAAAGAAAATGTGTTTCTCTCCACCTCAAGAAAATATTTGGAGATCATAATGGCTGCATTCAGGTTTCACATGAAACCATTGGTAAGGAAAAATGTGCATGTACATGGCTTGTTAAGAAGCTAGCATAGGGGCCTTGCTTCTTCTCCCCACCTCTTCTTATGCCACGAATCATGGTCATATTTATTTATATTGTCACCATTTATATTTCTCACCAATGGGGACCCAAAGCAGCTTGCAGCAGTGTTCTTCCCACCTATCTTCACTCTATCTTCACAACACTATGAGGTAGGTTAGGCTGAGACTACGTAGCCCGAGGGGAGCCACTGGGCTGCCAGAGCAAAGTGGGGATCTGAAGCCAAGTCTTCCAGATTCTACTCTGACACTATAACCACTACGCCACACTGGGATTCTGGGTGTCCATTTTTCTTTAATCAGTTAATTGTGGTGTCTGAATGCAACTTAAGGCTGTTTTATTTCTCCTAAAGCCTCAGGCTTGAGTGAGGCAGGCTGGGTTTGCTTATGACAACTACTCCCCCCCCAGAGCTTCCTATTATGCCCAGAGTCCTACTCTTCTACATACTGATTTCTTCCAAGTATCTCAGCCTTTTCCGATCTCTTCCCATCCCCGACAAAAAAAAACCACATCAAAATTGTATGAGTAAAGTATCCAAACTGAACAAAATTATTGTTTATACTACCTGGAACTTTAAAGCTAATGTACGTTGTTTTTACATGAATGTGCATTAGAAGATACCTTCACACGGTTTAGACTTGACTTCTGAGGTGGGAAGCTGAAATCTGAAGACTAACAAACTAAACAGCTCACAAAATCTGAACAAGGCATGCCAAACAGGGTAATATAGGACAGCTTTTTACCAAGGGTTTGAACCAAGAAACAGAGATTGTCTCTGGCAAATGGAGATCATTAGAAAGTATGGGATTTTGCAGAGTAACCTGTACAGAGTCCTCTAGATCAGTCATAAGATGTCCTTTAAATCAGCTGGGTTGGTAGTGTATTGAAGACTACAGTATTTGTTTTTGTTAAGTTTACAGAGTTTCATAATTTCTTCTGTCCAAGGCATCACCACCATTTTTGCTAATAGCATTTGTTGGAAATGTTTTCTGTATTCCTCACATCCAAAGAACTCTCCTGGTATGGATGCAAAAGCATCCATGTGTAGAAGACATATCTACCTCAAGGTAGGGCCGGTTTACACTTTGTGCTAGAGTGTTGCACCAGAAATGTGAAACTAAATCCAAATTCTGCTTGCACTAGAGGCAACAGGTACAACTGTAGAATCTACTGTATGACTTCATATCTTCTCATTTCCTCTCCAAATGAGCCCGTTTGCGGGGAGGGCGGGGTATAAATACAATTAAATAAATAAAAATAAAATAAATGACTACTCAACGTCCACATTTCCCACAGAACTTTCTCTGAACCATTCTTTCTCAGAATCATCTTCTCCTGCCAAAGGCAACATGGCAGAAGGCAAAGGTTATGTATTATTTATAGTGTGATGGGATGAACTACACCATGTAAATAGTAGCTTTACATAACTTTACAAAGAGCTTTTTGTGCAAGATATTGCACAAGACCTACTGTAAGATCAAGTGCTGAGTTTTTATTTCTGGTTAACGTCTACAAAAATCAAAAAGGCTATTTAATGCAATCATTATAGTCCAAATTAGAGGTGTGATGATTGAAGGTCAGGGGGAGGTATTACTGAAATATATCCTGTGCTATTTCTTTTGTAAGTGGAAATGTAAAGATGAGATACAGTTGACTTAACGGCACAGCTGCTTGCGAAGAATTTCTTGTGTTTCCACTTGCACAAGAGCTCTTGCACGAGTAGAAATGCTCAATGGGATTCCAGCCCAATATGTCTACCAACAGTTTTCTGCCATTTAAATTTTTTAACAGAAGTGTTATTCCTCTGTCTTCAGGTATTAACGATGGTGCCGCAGCTGTAATTCTTATGAAAAAAGCGGAAGCGCTCAGACGAAGTCTTACACCTTTGGCACAGATTGTGTCTTGGGCTCAAGTTGGTGTAGACCCTTCTGTAATGGGGATAGCACCTGCCCCAGCCATAAAGAAAGCTGTAAGTATCACAGCAGGAAAAAGTTGTTAATCTCTTTTAACTAGTTAACCTTGACAACAAAACTACTATTAAAAAAAGGCAGTATGTTTATTTCTTGCTAATGGAACTTGGTGCCAAAAAATCACAGTTGGACTGGATATCCATAAAATCTGGATATAGTTGCTTGCAATTCTTCCAGTTTGTTAAAGAAAGTGAAGGGGCCAAGTGTAAGTTTTATTAATGAACTTGGAAGTGGAGGTCTTATTTAAATTTACATTCATGTTTACTTGTGGGCACATTCCACAGCTACAGACAAGGCCCAGTTGGACTCTGCTCATCTAGATGGAAATAAACAGAGTAGTGTATTAAGACAAACAAAAACTTTTTGTTGTTGTTTAGTTGCACAGTCGAGTTCGACTGTTCGCGACCCCATGGACCAGATCATGCCAGGCCCTCCTGTCTTTCGCCGTCCTCTGAAGTTTGCTCAACTTCATGTTCGTTGCATCGGACATTCAAATTCTAGTAACAATAACAATCAAGCACCTTTCATGCTTGCTTTTTCTACGAAATACTACTGATCCTAAGGAAGGACAAGGAGCTATATTGCATTGAAGTCTTGACTGGTAGGAACTATTAAGAACCAGATTCGGTTGGTGTTGTTTACATACTTAAACATGCTGAAAAGTATAAGGGAAAAGGCTGAGACTTTTGCTTCAATGCAAACAGAAAATCTAAATTCTCTAGAAAGCTCATTTGCATTACAAATTTGCATTTTTCTATTTGTCTTTAATTGGGCATGAACATAATGCCCTCAGCCCCATACTAAGAGTCCAAAGGGCAAGGAATCTGTTTTGATGAAAGGTTTAAGATAGGATGCAGAACCAGAACACTACCTCGTAACAGAAACATAGAATTTAATATGCATTGGAAGAATCACAGCCCAGTCCTGTGAATGCTTACTCAGATGTAAATCCCACAGAGTTTAATGGCACTTACTCCTGTGTCAGTTCAGTTGTAACATTGAGGAATTTCACATTACCCTTTTAAAGCCAGTTTGGAGCCATTCTCTGTCGTGGAGTAAACCGATATAGGGCTGCCATTTCACACATGGCTTTCCCCTACCGGTAAACAGCTGGATCTGAAGCAGTTTGCCATTTCAGACTGCACTGCTTTTTCCCACTTTTTCCTGCCCTTTTTCCCCCGCCCGGGGGATCTCCGGCTTTTTTTTTTTTTTTTGGAATGTTCGCTTTAGAGCGCTACAACACAACACTCCAGGCAATCCAGTGGGGTTGCTATACCGCTGTTTTGCTGTTGCATTACCACTATAGTGCTCAAAAGCGAACTTTTTTTAAAAAAAAGCCAGAGATCGCCTGCACGGGCGAAAAACGCTAGGAAAAAGCGTTTCAGATCTGGGAGAAGAAACTGAAGACTACTTGGAAGTGGTTTACAGGTAAAACGGTTCAGCCCCGTTTCCTGAACGGGACAGAAGCGTTTGTGTGTGAAAGTACAAATATATTCCAGTAGGGAACCGGTTCTAAAACAGTTCTGTCTGAAATGTCAGACCAGAAACCGTTTGGGAACCATTCCTGAACTGGAATATATCGTCTGTCTGAAATTCCTCATGTCTAAGGGACACGGAAAGCTGAAGTTCCATAACCAGAACTTCCAATGTGATCTTTGCCTAAAAACAGCTATATTAAGGCCACTGTGTTGGATAAAGGGAATTACTCTTCTTCTCCCATAACCTCATAAAAATAGCCCCCGGAGCCTGTGCTTTAGGCTGTATGAAGTTCCTCTTCCCCAACTGTAGCTTAAAATATTCCTCCCCCAGGAGAGAAAGCTATTGTTAAGGAACACAACTTCTCTGCCACGTAGACTTCCCTGGTGCCATAGTTCCAGACATAGAATCATAGTTGGAAGGGAGCTTGCTGCCGCCACCTCTAAAAACTAGGAAGAGAAGCCCTGTTACCCTGAAACTTATATTAACTGTGCCAACCACCGGAGGGACACCTACAGAAGATCTGTGCCGCCCATGGGAAGAGAGAACTGATGATAGCCATCATGAACTTTATAATAGCAAACTAACTTATTATAGAATTGTAATTTTTTAAGTAGTTTTAAATGTTTTATTGCACTATTTAAATGTTTTCCACTGATTTTATGTCAGCCACCCTGAGCCGGCCTTGGGCTGGGAGGACAGGGTACGAATTTGATTAAATAAACCCCCTGCACTCTGCAGGAGCATAGCCGAAAGATAGCCCTACAACATACCCAAAAGATGGTTGTCCAGCCTCCGCTTGAAAATGTCCAGCGAAGGAGCATCCACCACCTCCCAAAGCAGTCTGTTCCACTGCTCAACCACTCTTACAGTTAGGAAGTTTCTCCTGATATTTAGCTGGTAACGACTCCCTTGTAATTTCCACCCATTAGATCTAGTCTTGCAATCCGGAGCAAGAGAGAATAGAGTCAATAGTGGCTCCTTTCATGTCTCTGTAGGGCCAAACAGAACTTAGTGTTCTATTTTTGGTCTTAGATCTTATATCAACAATCTACGCTACCACATAACTTGAATAGTGCCTGGAATCCTTCAGCCTTCACTTTCCCCACTCTTAAAGACAAAGCAATTATTTTTCTAGTCCTAGTCTAATATTGTTTTGTCTTTTAGGTTGAAAAAGCAGGTTGGACAATGGACCAAGTTGACTTGTTTGAAATTAATGAGGCCTTTGCTTCACTAGGTGTAGCAGTAACGAGAGAGCTAAAATTGAACCCCGAAAAGGTATGTCGCCATGGTAATTAAAATGAAAAGAGATATTAGAATCTTATTTTTACAGTGTTTGCCCAATAGAAGGGTAAATAAGTTTGTATATATCAGTAAAAATACCTGGAGAACAGTTCATGTCCCCAAGCTCCTTACGGTAACCTAAGAGAGAACAGTGTTCTGACAACTGCTAACCCAAATACTTACGATGAAAATGAAAAGGGGGTAAGGAGGGAGGAAGGGTAGAAGTGAAAACAGCTCAGTGGCTGGAATGAAAAGCAGAATTAGGATGCTCTTCAGGTAAAACAGTCACCTGTTCTATAATGTCTGCTTAGAGAAAGCACACCATATGTGCTTTTAAATCCAAAAGGGATACTGGGGCAGAGGATCTTCTGTAGCTTCTTTTAGGGAGTAGCCTGCATTAAGACACCTGTGCAACCTTTTACCAACTACTAGGTATTCCAAGCATTGTGGTCAAGAGGAGCTGGACTGTATTTTAAAATCCCTATTGGAACAGGGCTGTTCTGCAATACTTGCCAAGCACTTTGACTACAGATCTTTAAGGAGAATTAAGAGAAGCCATAGCGCAGAGGAAGATAAGCAGAACTTTATATACTTATGGGTGACATACTTCACACACTTAGCCGCTACAGTGCAATAACAAAAGTAAAGAAAATAAGATGCACATTTCTTGCTTTTGTAATTGTTCATTTGTTTCCCTTTTTTGCAGGTTAACATTGAAGGTGGGGCTGTTGCCCTTGGTCATCCCTTGGGAGCATCTGGATGTCGCATCCTTGTTACTCTGGTGTATGCACTGGAGCGAACAGGCAAAAAGCGGGGAGTTGCTGCCTTGTGCATAGGAGGAGGGATGGGCATAGCTATGTGTGTAGAAAGATAGCAAACATTTCAATTTTGTACTAATGCATATCATGCCCTGAATTCACTCAAAGCTCTGTCTGATTTTCATTCAGTTTTATTTAACATTACTGCACACATCTACACTGCCTGCTTCTGTCATGTTAAAAACATAATAGGACCAGCTCAAGCTTTAACAGAATTTTCCCTGCTACAGGATGTACTCTCCTTTTCCCCACAGCAAGGTATATAGATTTCCATAACTGTAAGGATTCAGATAGTTAATACTACTATGAAGGGTCCACAGCTTAGTACAGTAACAAACTAGTGTCTTTAATCACTATTCACCCTCTCCCCTAGTACAGGCAAGGATTTAATCAACAGGGTTTTCAGTGCTGCACACAGGATAAGAAAGTAGTTCCTATTTGTGTCTACTAGGAGCTCCAGGCACTCAACCCTCCCTTCAGTTCCCTGCCATACACAGAGAAATTGAGGGAGATGTCCACTTTGTGACAGTTAGACCATTCATCTTCTCCCAGTCGCAAGCTCTTTAAGATGGACTACAACAGTGACAAATACAAAATCTGGGTCTTATATTATTTATTCACTAGTTAACCACCTTCTGAGTGGACAGGACTTTTAACAGTTTGTTTTATTAACATACCAGTAAATACAGAACTAGACAGAATTTTACAAGAACATTACATTAAAAATCCATTTAGTTTTCAATTGCTCCAGAGTGAACTGCATCTTCATAACATCCACCTTTATCGTTTTTGCTTTCAGGGTGCAATTTAATAAGGTCATCAATTCGAAGAATAGTAATTGCTGCTTCTGTTGCAAACTTCAAACTCTTGGTTTTGACCATGGTAGGCTCAAATACACCAGCCTGCTTATTGTCACGTGGCTTTCCATTGATTAAATCAAGGCCAATCCTTCAAGAACATAAAAGGATGAACAGTTGTGAAACTGGTATATCAATTTCAAAACAGCCTTATCCTAAACCATAAAATAAGACCCACTTTGAATGTTTCTTCCAGATAAAAGTAGAATGCCTGCTTAATTTCAGTTCACTCTCTCCACTGTCACAAACATAGCTATGATATAGCACCAGCTAGAGATAAATGATTTAAAATCACCTTGTCAACGAACTACTGCTTTTATGATTAACAGTAGAACTAGGAATGAGCTGTTGATTCCGTGACAAACCCTTTTCATTGTTGTGTTTTATGAATACTTACCATTTCAGATTTTTCCGTTCAGGATTAACTTGAGCCTCATTATGAAATGCCCTGAGTTTTGCAACAAGATCTATGGCATCTTGGGCAGCATTGACTGCTAAAGTGTTTGGAATTACTAGGAGAGATCTTGCAAATTCCGCAATAGCAAGCTGTTCACGTGATCCCTAATTAAAAAAAGAAGAAAACGTAACTCCTTTCAACATTTTAGTACTTGCATAAACCAAGTACTGCATTTGTAGAATAAAAGAACTATATCTGGATCCCAGTGATCTATCCGCAAAAGGCACAAAGAGCTGCAGATATTCCTAGCCCCTGCAGCAGTCCTTTCCAGCCTTGGAACAGTTTCTTCATGGACCAACAAATGCAGTGGGGAAACTGATAGGGATGAAACTGTCCTCCTTGAAAGGGTCCCACAAGCCCAGAAATAAACTTTTAAAGGTCAGAAGAGATTGATGAGGGAAGCAGAAAGTGGGAAAGATCCATGATCCTTATTTGATATCCAACCCAATGAATGGTTTTGTTCTGCACATTAATATCCTATCATCTTCAGTTCAATGAGATTCCTTTCTATATGAAGTCAGTTAAGTTTAGAAATATGGCTGCTCCCAAGAACTGGCAACACAAGGTGACACACAAAAGTTCATCTCTGTTCAACTTTAATCAGATCACTTACCATGCTAGTTGCATAATTCTCTAGATAAATGGAAAGTGCTGCTTCAACAGCTCCACCTCCTGGTACAACTGACTTTGACTCTAGTACTCTTTTGACAACACAAAGAGCATCATGCAGAGATCGCTCCATCTCATCACACATGAAGTCATTTGCTCCTCGCAATATAATCGAGGCTGATGTTCGTGCCTTAGTACTGTAAGGAAGATGTAACGTATCTGTTTTCTCATAATTTGTAAGCATTTTATTATCTTGCCTCATTAGTTATACTTGAGCTACTACCAGATATTATGTTCCTGGTAAAGACTAAATTAAGTGTCCAGGTCCACCAGTAAAGACGAGACATTTCCCATCTCACCATATCACTTACAGATGACTGATGATAATTTATCCCACGCGTATAACTGCTCACACCACTAAAACAGCATGGCAGCAATTAAATGGGAACTATTTCAAAAAGTGAAGCAAAATTAAATTTCATGTATCAAACTTAAATGTTTCCTTACTTCTTAATTAAAATCAATTCATCATCACAAATTCTCTCTTGAACCACCTCTTCTGCTTGCCCCAGCATTGATACTTCAAAGGTTTCTTCTCCTTCCAGGTTTGCCAGAGTAGAACAAATCGTGGCTTGTAAAGACAAAAAAAAAAAAAAGGCTTTTAATATTATACAAATCCACATATTCTAATCATACCAAATGGTCCCAAACTAATACTTGGGTTTTCTAGCCCAAGTATGATTACTAGCAATACTGAACATATTTTAATTTTCCATTAACAAGACAAACTGTGGATTGGATTTAAAGTGCAAATTTCTCTATCCTGAACTGTAATTACCTCCAGCAGCCTTAGCAATGTGTTTAAGGTCTCTTTTTAGAACTCTGCGTACTGCCATGGCACCAGCATCCACAAAGTATTTCAGACACATATCATCAATGCCGCCAGTGGTCAGAACAACATTGGCTCCTGTAGCCAGGATCTTCTGAATTCTCTCTTTAGTGATGTCGGCCTCTCTGCATAAGATATTATGTATACATTAGTTAAGACCAACTAAATTCGAATGCAAGATCAGTGGTAAAGCTATAAGGAAAAGATGCTGAGAAACTACCAGAATGGGGCACACCAGTCAATCTGCTGAGATTTAATGCATATTCCCCCATTGTATTCATTGGCATATAAAAGTTGCATCTCAACCCTGTGACGAATTCAGGAGGAATACTGCAAACCATGTACCAGGGAATTTCTTGGAAGATTATCAAATGTTCCTAAATGAGAAGATCAGTAATGGTAAGACAAACTTCCCTGAAAGGCAGCTTTGCCTACCATAACCACTGTCCAAGATAAGCAATCCGTTCCTCTAAATACTGGTCCAGATCTCCAACTGTGTTCCACTTCCCAACCATTTCTAGCCAAAAGCATGCTTGTTCAATATAGTACCACTTAAAACTACCTCTAACTTTGGCACCAAACCCCACCTGTGATCTTGCTTCCACATGAACCATACGTATTTCTTTCAATTCTCCTAGAGGAAAGGGGGCTCAGGAACTCTCCCCAGCTATAGCAAGATGTCAATACAGCCTGCTATATAGGTAGAGAAGCAGAGACAGAACTTTGCCAACCAGAAGACTATAAGTGGTTGGGGCTACACAAATGATCCTCTACAGTTTTCTCTTGTGCAGCAACAATGTTATACTACATGTACAGATCATCTGACCGCTCAGAAGAACCCAAGAGAAACTGATGCTATGAACGATCCTCAACTTCTGGCCACAAACAAAGCTGCTGGGCCTTATGTGGTTTTTCAGCAGGAAGGAGCACGAAGGATAAACTGGTTTAAATCCCTCCCATGTTACCATGGTTGAGGTCTGAATACCTCCCTACAGAAGTACAGTTACATCTCAAAACCATTGCTGTTCTTTAATAACCAACTCAAACTGAACTAGCAGTGACTCAAAAAAGCTTATACCCTGCCACAAATGTTGTAAGTCTTTAAGGTGCCGCCAGGCTCTTGCTCTTTTGAACTGGCTTCTGTACAGTTTAGCAAACATATAATTTAGAAAAGAATGTTACATAATTATGACTCCAGATTTTAATGTTATTTTGGTAAGGAAACAGAGAAATAATCTTTCCATTTAATGATAAAAATCAATCTAAGATAATTATGTATGACCATCAAGTAACAAGTTTTGAATTACAAATTCTACAGTTTAAATGATTTTTTAATCTACAAAGCATACCTCTGCCTGATCTGGTCCAGTTTCTCAGGGTCTGTGATAATCACCTGAACACCAAGCTTCATTTTAGTCTTTTGCAGGCTGAAGTCAAGACATGCAATCTTTGCATTAACTATTCTTTTGGTCATGCCTAAAAAAAGGAAGCACATCCAAGCTCCTTTATCCAAATACAGTTTTATAACACTGAAATTTTTCAACTGGTATTTAGTTTACAAGATGATTTACACTGTAGTTACATGATACTATACAAAACACAGCAAATTCCAGAAACTGAGTTTCACCTACATCCTTCCAGAAAAAGAAAAGAGGAAAATCTTAACCTTACCTTGGGATCCCACAATACAGTTCAATGCATAGCCATTTACGAGAATGCTCTCTTTCTGACTGCGGCCATGTGCCTTTAAAACGTTAATGGAGTTGATGGGATAACGTGCTTGCCCCTTTTGATCTGTATATTTAACTGCAAGAGCAGCATCCACTACCATGTCGGCAAAGAAATCACTGTCACTGCAAGAAGACTATTAAAGCAAATAAGGGCAGTTGTATCAAGAATTCACGAAATTTACAGCATGTCCCACATTAAGGTAGCTTAACAAATCAGTAGAGAAGCCTTTTGCCATAGCAAAAGCCAATGCCGTTTTACAGATGTAAGTTCTCTAAGCAGACATTCTCCATTATGCAAATATCTTCACTACATCTAAGAATAAACTGACAAAACCAGCAAGGCCAATAACAGACAACGTAAGGTTTTCTGTATACTCAAAAGACTCCATAGACATACACAAAAATATGTCTTGTAAAATAGTCGGGGGGGGGATGCTTAAAATGCCTTAAAAATGCTCCCAACGTGGATAAAATGTTGAATTAATTACCATCTATTAAGGAAAAGGGGAGGGGAAATCAGCCTGCTCAAGAGTGAAGTTTTGAGGAGCAAAATGCCTCCATCCCCATAATTTATCACAGCCTCTACTTTGTACCCCCTAGTAGGAAACTGCCCATATCCTGAATGGATCACAAAAGCAGCCAGAAACAAAGGAGATTATGTATACATAGGAGAAGCCTGGGGACACAAAAGAGCGTTGAGTTCTAGACCCGATTGCAAAATAATTTAGAGACTCCCTACACAGCCACTCCACTGCTATAGAAATCAGGCTGCATGAAACAACATACAGGCACAAGTCCTTCCAAAAACCTTCATTTCATTCATTTGCATTGCCATCTTGGAAGAGCAACAAGGGCCATCTCGTCCTGCCTGGATTTTAGTTTCCGTACATACCACATTCCAGCTTTTCATTATGGATCAAAAGGATACACTCCAATAATTTTGGAAGACAGAGATGTTTTAGCTGCATTAATCAGACAGTCCCTGCCCAGCTCATCTGAGTTAATAACAAGATTTTCATTGATGTAGCGAACTGCTTCCCTGTTCAACACAAAAATATTTTCCCAGAATTGTTAGAATTTCATTTTTAATAGTGTAAAAGTTATTCTAACATTCTCAGTCATTTGCCTGTTTATTTGTGCAAGTTATGTAAATCTTATATTAAAGAACAGCATTTCATGCTTTTGTAAATGAGACAAGGGCTGAAAAATGACTCAGTGGACCACAATGCCAGAGGAAAAATTTGTATTGCCCTTCATTTTAAATTCTCAGGAAGTTTAAAACTTAGCAGGCAAGGCTAGAATTGCTTGCCAGTACATACAGACATTTCTTACTTGCAAGCAAGACGATATCCACTAATGATGGAAGTAGGATGAATTTTCTGTTTCACCAATTCATCTGCATTTTTCAGTAGTTCTGCAGCAATAATTACCTGTCACAAAAGATGCATGATCAGGCAAGCAGAACAGAGTACTCAGTGTTCAAAAAACACTCAATGAAAAACAAAAGACCATTTCAGTTAAGAGGAAATAAAGTGTTAATACAAGTTACTTTACATACAATTTAGTATATAACTTACTAGAGAGGTCAGAACCTTCAGACATTTAGGCCAAATCAGGCCTTCTAACCATAGTCCCTGTCCTCAATTTTGTCAAATTCCTAGAGTAAATCATAGGGGCCAGCACTAGAATTCCTAAGAAACAAAGGCTGGCTCAAAGGGCTTTCCAGGGACAGAAGTCTGTAGGTGGCAGAGGGGCAGGAGGAAATAGAATGTGAGGGGTGGATCCTAGAGATGCTTTATTGTTTCTCCTGTTAGTGAAGCTATCATTTTCCCAAAGCAGGTACTAGGAAAAATGATGATGATAAAGGAACTACTTCCCATTTTGTTTTTATGTGCTTGTTGGAGAGGAACATAGGCTTCTCACATGTTACATTTTGTCATCTACTGCTAAAACTGGGGGGGGGTGTGGCTGTGTAGAAACATTTTTGTTCCAGTGTTAATGTGAAGGTGCATCTCTCTAGGTAAGTTACTGTTTAATCAAGACAAAAACAGTTTTATGCATGAGTCAGAACTGGGAAGTATACACATTTGCTATGCACGTACACACTATGCTCATTAAAAACAGCAAAAGTGCTATTTCCGAATTTCAAACTGCTCCATCCTATCAGAGGTATCTTGACAAAGGAAACTTTGACTCTTGAAAGCTTACCTGAAAATCTTGTTAGTCTCTAAGGTGCTACTGGACTCAAATCTAGCTGTTCTACTGCAGACCAACTAGGCTATCCTCTGAAACTGCTCCATATTTTAGTTTACTTTATACCAGTCTGAAAGAATAACTATCGTATACTATTACTAAGCAAGCTGTAACTGCAGGTTGTCTTTCAATTTGAATGGTTCTCTAACAACAACATGTTCTGCCATTGCACATAGAAAGAAGACAGTACCATTCTTCTCCTTCAGACTTTGGCAGGCTTTTTTTATCCCATAAGCATAACCACCTATTTTGTAGTGCAAATAGACAGTAGTCAAATGGGAAAGGTTTGCTTGCAGTTTTAACAGTAAAAAGAGTCTACTAAATGCCTACAGGGTCACACCCCACCAAAAATATTGAGTTCTCATCTATATATAAATGAATATATTGGCCTATGTTCTACCTCTGCACATTTCCCTGCATGAATTTCTGATCCTGCAGCCTGTTTCAACTCTGGAAAGATTATTCCCAGGGTCATGGGACCCATAAAGTAGACACATAATTGGGAGAGTTGGAGTGTGGAAGGACAGGGGGTGAATCACTTCTCCTTCCTCTTCCAGAAAAACATTCTTGCTGAGGAAAAGGGTCAAATTCATCCTCCTCACTATACCTGTTCCTATACATGCATCCTACAGTCCCAGAAATTCTCTTTCCAGGGGTCAAAGGGGGCACCAAGAACAGAGAGGACTGTGGGAAAACTTCCATACATGGACTGTTGAAACTCCCTGCTGATAGTACCAATACACAAACCAGTGCCACTGAATTTCAATTGCAGACTAAGGATGAAGTCACAAAGAAGTCAAGTGGAAACAAGACCTACTGAATTCTATGGGACTTACTTCCAAGTAATCAGAATTAGAAAAACACAGTTCATGAACATAAACCCTCAGGCTCAGCAAGTCATTTAATGACTGCTTCAATTATCATTACTTTGTGTCAATGATTTCACACAAATGAAAATCACATATATGAAAGAAGCTTTAAAATTATATCATTTTTTTTTAAAAAAAGATGCTTCTACACTTTTTGGTTGTGATGTTAGAATGACTGCATGTTCAAATCTTCGAGCCAGTAAAAGTTAGCTACGTTTAGGCAATTATTTAAATAATGTGGAAAAACTTGAGAGCAGCGCAGATTTCAAAACTACAGAGTAACACTACACAACAATGACTTGCTGTCAAAACCTTTGAGTCTGGATATACACACATACCACAGAGGTGGTGCCATCTCCTACTTCTTTATCTTGTAGTTCTGCTAGTTCACACAGAACTTTTGCAGCAGGATGCTCTACCTCCAGCAGCTTCAGAATGGTTGCACCATCATTCGTAATGGTCACGTCCTAGTTATCCAAACATGGCAAAACATTATTTATGCTCAGCATTAAGATAATGAAATATAATAACCTGAATTAAAAAATACTGACAAAGCTACCATTAGCTAAATGGTTGAGTAACAAATGCATTGGGGTATGGATGTGCTACTGTGCTTAATGAACTTCTACAGTGAACCTACATACATTAATCTTACTGGCGTTTTGTTTCTCCATTCACATTCCCGAATCACTTAAATAGCTATCCCACACATGCTAATAGGAGTAAACCTCATTAAATACAGTGGGGCTGATTTTAGGTAGAATACCTAAAAACTGGCATTAAGAATGGTAGGATTTGCTGCTACACCATTTTCACTATTTGTTACTCACAAATTTTATATCAGCAGGCTAGTAATTCTTTTTTCTGGGCATGTAAATAACGTGCATATTTGCAAGGCTGCTAAGGATGGTTTCTCAAACTCACTGACTTTATGTACTTCAATACGGCTTTTATCAAAGACTTTAGTTTTGCATAAAATTTCTTGTCAGCACATTACTGGATTGTGAGAAACAGAATTATTTCATATATCACAGGATATTCTATGTAGACACAAGACATTGGCCTCTAAATCTACAGAAATGTGTGCCATACAAAAATCAAAAATTTAAGAATACTTACGTTGATAAAATTACCATAGATTACACAGCCACAGGGTGCAAATACCATTACAGAAAATAGGTATACAATTTCACCTTCAACATGTATCAGTTAAGCACACAACACACTTTCCTCTAAAACCTTCTCATTGGAAATAATGTTTACTTACACCAATGTCATCCACCAACATTTTATCCAAACCAACTGGGCCAAGGGAACTCTTCACAATGTTGGCAATGGAAGCAGCAGCCACAACTGTTTCAATAAAAAAATTCATACAATTTCTTTGTTAACAGAGTAAATCAAAGCCCTTAAAGAAAGCAAAACAGTTCTAGGATGATTCTGATTTCAAGACTGACCGCGCTTTGCTTACCATGGCTGAGTTTACATGATACCTCTGCTTGTAGCCTGTTATCACAGAAGTGCACAAGCAAGCCTTAAGCTCATGCACAATGTCTGCATCTTAAACCTATGAACCAGGTCCTTCACACAGTCTAACCATCCTTTTTTCACAATGGATAGATCAAATGAGCTTACGTGTACAGCTATTTACTTGTTTACACCCATTTTCATTACTAAAGCATCTTACAGACACGCAAGTTCGAATCTCCCTTTATCACATACACAACGGCTGCACTGAGCACAATATGAACCAGGTCAGTGTCATACTTTAAATGAGCTCTTTGTAAGACTGTTCTGCCAGTTCATATAGGAAGAAGATATAGTTGATCTTCCCCTTCAGACTCTGACAAGCTTTCATTTATCCCATAAGCATAACCACTTAATTTGTAACACAAATAAATGGTAGTAGAATGGGAAAGATCCAGATCCTATTTGGAGACAGATTCTAAATAGCCTTCTGAGTTTGGAGTCACTACCTATATGCCAATACCACAGATTAAGAAAACAAAACAATTGATTAATAGAATGGTTACTCCTCTCCTATCACTGGCTTCTGCCAGCAGGTGAAGACTTTTAGCCAGACAGAAAAGCAAAATATACATGCTGTAAACATAACAAATAAAAATAAGTTCTTTTAAATATGCCACTTTAAAAAAATCACTATACAAAATCCAATCATATAATTTCTACAAGTGTAATAATGGAATGATTGTACAAAGAGGTTTAATAAAAAATTCTGAAACCTGCTAATGAAACAGCAAGCCTTTAAGCTACAAGTACCATATAAGGTGGGAAGGTAACAGCGTTCCGTGCGCCTTGGTGTTTAGTCATGCCGGCCACATGACCACGGAAACGTTTTCAGACAGCGCTGGCTCTTCGGCTTTGAAACGGAGATGAGCACCGCAACTCTAGAGTCGGACTCGACTGGCTTTCGAGCAAGGGAACCTTTACCATATACGGAGGTAATTTCGATTAACAGTTGTAAGACCTTCTCCATCCCACTCACTCAGCAAGCACTTTTCATTAGGCTCGGAGAAGTCTTCACGTGGGTTATAAGTACTACTATGCAAAGCATGCCGGTACTAGAGCTAGGAAAATGCAACCACTGCTTAAATAAGTGTCAAACGAGAACAATTAATTATTTGAAAGATACTGTACTGGCGAACATACTGACAAGCTCATTACAAAACCACAAAGGCCTCCTCGCGTAGCTTAGACCGAGATACAGGACAACAATAAGATCGTATTATCTTAGGATCTAGTAACGCCATTTCGGCAGATGAAATCTCCGCTTCTACCCTGTTGAAGCGACGGGGAACATCAATTTGTCACCCTCACCTCGCCGCGACATCCGCCGGCTGCGTGACCAGAGAAGACGCCCCATTTTATCATGTACGCGCGCCTCAACTGTCCCCACGCGAGGGATGAAAAAAAGGCAATGACGCGACCGTTAACTATCCGGAAAACGGGCCAGAAGAACGAAAGGACAAGGAGAGTCTGTTTTCTTTACCGTTCTGGGTGCGAACGGTCTCACCGGTGCCCCGGTCTCCGAAGACCGCCAAAGGTCCCTCCAGCGCCGCCATCTTTCCGAACAAAGAGACAAAAAAGGCAACGTGCGCGTACCACTCAGTCCCCTAATGGCGCAGTGCTTTCTGGGTGACCCCGCCTGTCAAAATGGTGCCTGCGGAAGACTGAAAGGGAGGGGCGAGAATAATCAAGGAAAGTAGCGCAAAGTAGCTATGACGTAGAAGAAGAATAACCAATTCAGAGACCCGTTACACATCGGCCGGTTCCGTTTTTGCCGCTGATTGGTCGTGCGTTAAACAAATGAGAATTTTGCCACCGTTGCATAGTAACAAGCGAGCCCGGTCATACGCGGGGAGTGACAGTTAAATGTGTTCTAGGCTGCGGTGGCTCAAGTGGTTAAGATGCTGAACTGCAGGCTGTGGAAGGTCGGTAATTCAGCAGTTCAAGACCCGGTTACCGCAAGACGGAGTGAGCTCCTGTCTCGTAGTTCCAGCTCCTGCCAACCTAGCAGTTCGAAAGCAAGAAATTGCAAGTAGATAAATAGGTACCACTTCGGTGGGAAGGTAACAGCGTTCCGTGCACCTTGGTGTTTAGTCATGCTGGCCACATGACCACGGAAATGTCTTCGGACAGCGCTGGCTCTTCGGCTTTGAAACAGAGATGAGCACTGCAACCCTAGAGTCGGATTCGACTGGCTTTCGAGCAAGGGAACCTTTACCTTTACTTAGGCGATTCTAGAAAGTGTTTGAGACCAAGGAGTGTCAGCCGTTTCTCTCCCTTCTTCTCCGGTGTTTGAAAGAGAAACCCACTTTACGTTTTCTCACCTTAATTACTATTGGGTGACGTTTGAACTACACCCCCAGCAACCCCACCATCTTGTAGCTTCTTGAAAGGAAGCGGACTATAAAGCAAATAAATCCAATCTTTGAGCTTTTTACTCTACATTATGCCATCGTGGGCTGCAAGTCCTAAAAAAAGGAATATGGCGCAGGCATTTTTTGCCTTATAATATTGGAGGACACTCGTGACCTACACGAGGGAAAAAAATGGGAGTTGTGACAAAAAAGGCTGCGCCGGATATGATTACAATATTAGCGACCCTACCATCAATCTGGAGCAACTATTGGCTGAATAGGACTTTCCTTAGAAGAAAGGGGCGGATTTACGTGAAATGACCAATCAGAGGCAGGAGTACATCCACCTTTTGTGAATGTTGGTGGTGCCATTTCTGTTGAGGGCTGCAGTTCTCTTTCGTGGTTAGCATACAGATTTAAGTATTGGCTACATCTAAGAATTTTGTTCCCTTAGTAAAGATGGTACTACATAGCGTCTCGTAGTTGCGGTTCTTGGCGATTACCGCCCTGGCAGTTTGATACCACCACCCTGGCAGGATGGCATTGAGAAGATGGACTTTGCAGCTGGGGACTTCAGCCAAGGGATTCCTGGGACCTGGTCAAGGTACAGAAGTCTGGGAGTGTGGGTTGACCACAAAAACGCACGAAACTGATAAGACATCCTGAGAGACTGAGTATAGTGCAAGAAAGTGGGAGGATTGTCCTAAACACATCGGCTTGGGAACTAACTTAATTGACATATAGAACAGAGTTTGAGTCCAGTGGCACCTTTAAGACCAACAAAGTTTAATTCTGGGTATAAGTTTTCGTGTGCAAGTACACTTCATCAGATACAGGTCAAATTCATTTTAAAGTTGCCACCTATCTTGTCTTTTGTAACAGGGGCATCCAAAGCAGGGCCTCTGAAAATGACTGGAATGGATGGGTAGTGAATGGTTAAGCTGATTAACAGATTTATACTTACTCTTCTTGCGACCTGGGCCCATCTGTACATGTTCTTGTTGTTCTTCAGTCACACAGTTGAGTCCGACTCTTTGCTATCATGCCAGGCCCTCCTGTCCTCTGTCGTCCTCCGGAGTTGGCTCAACTTCATGTTCATTGCATTGATAATACTGTCTAATCATCTCATCCTTTGCCCTCCCCTTCTTCTTTGACCTTCAGTCTTTCCCAGCATCAGGGTCTTCTCCAGTGAGTGCTTCCTTCTCATTTGGTGGTGTCAGTGGTTGGGGCATAGACTTGGATTACTGTGATGCTGAATGGTTTGCCTTGGTTTCGAACCAAGATCATTCTGTCATTTTTGAGATTGTATCCCAGTACTGACCCCTGCACTCTCTTGTTGACTATAAAGGCCACACCATTTTTTCTACGAGATTCCTGGCCACAGTAGTAGATATAATGGTCTTCTGAGTTAAATTTGCCCATTCCAGTTTGGTGTAGTGGACTCTAATCTGGGACAACCGGCTTTGATTCCCCACTCCTCCACTTGCACCTGCTGATGTGATCTTGGGTCAGTCACAAGCTCTGGCACAGCTGTCCTTGAAAAAGAGCAATTTGTGTCAGAGTTCTCTCAGCCCCACCCACTACACAGAGTGTCTGTTGTGGGGAGGGGAAGGGAAAGGAGTTTGTAAGCCACTCGGAGACTCCAAGTGAAGGGCTGGGTATAAATCCAATCTCTTCTTCTTCCTGTCCACTTTAGTTCACTGATTCCTAAGATATCAATGTTCAGTCTTGCCATCTCATTTTTTACCACGTCAAGCTTACCTTGATTCATAGATCTTACATTCCAGGTTCCTATGCGGTATTGTTCTTTGCAGCATCGGACTTTCCTCTCACCATCAGACATATTCACAGCTGAGCGTCCTTTCGGCTTTGGCCCAGCCGCTTCACTCTTTCTGGGGTTACTTGTACGTGCCCTCTGCTCTTCCCCTGTAGCATATTGGACACCTTCTGACCTGAGGGGCTCATCTTCCAGTGTCATATCTTTTAGCCTTTTGTTACTGTCCATGGGGTTTTCTTGGCAAAGATACTGGAGTGGGTTGCCATTTCCTTCTCCAGTGGATCACGTTTTGTCTGAGCTCTCCACTGGCATAGGTCGCAGCCTCATCGGACTACACAAGCCCCCTCGCCACGTCAAGGTAGTGATCCATGAGTACATACCTACTTATAAAACTTGTTTTCTTGTTAGGATGCAGTGCCGTGCACTCTTGGAAGTAAATTGAATTAAATGCAGAAGTATCATGTCCTTCATCTCACAGGTGTAAATAAATAACCTGATGTACATGGTTCTACCTTCCTACATTTTATCTTCACAATACCCTGAGGAAAATTAGGCTGAGAGACAATGTCTGGTTTATGGTCACTCAGCTAGTTTCCTGGCAAGTGGGGATTTAAACCTGGGTTTCCCTAGTTCTGCTCCCACACTCTAACCACTGCACAATACAGGATCTTGTAATGCCATTTTAAGAATTTCTCCAGAACACTAAAAGTGATTTACCAAATATGGTCTTAATAAAAAGTATTAAAATTGCTTTTGTATTTGGATTTTGCTATGGACAAATGTGGTTACCTACTTTTTCCTATGGTAAATAGGGACACATTGTAAACAAGCCTCATCAAAGAGATTAATGTAAGACTATAACTATGTCAAGATTACCTGACCATCTTAAAACATGTTATTCAGATACAGTCCGCTTGAGTTCAATAGGATGAACACGATACATCTTCTCATATAAAATTTGGTTGTCAGGGTTCCTGTGGAAAACTGGCAACTGTCTCTCATTCCCCCATTCAGCAATAGATTTTAGATTATTTTACTTTCAGCTACGTTTCTGCAGAATTGTGTCTTTATAATGTAAGTTGTATACTAGAACAGCATTATATTCATGTTTTACTTTGAATATGGATTGGGTTATTTTCAATGTCTCTTAAACAAAGTCGTTTTTCTTTTACTCCTCTATAGGTATTCGATTCAGTTCTGCAATTTCCAGTTCCACACCTTCTTTTGAGAATGAACTGGATTTAACAGAAAATGAGATTGTTGCTCCTGATTTTACTAACCGGAATCCTCGTAACTTGGAGCAGTTGTCTCTAGCAAGGAAGGAGAGGGGCTGGAAAACAACGTGGCCAAATCAAGAGTATTGGCACAGGTCAGTTATTTTTTTAAAAAAGGATAGCAGAGGTCTACAGAAATCTTGTGACCAATATTCCTTCTAAGCTGTGGAGTCCTGTGAGCAAAAATTCTACTTTGTGAGCTACTGGCATTAAAAGTTGTGAGCGAGCGATTTGGCTGCTGCATCAGTTAGTTTGCTCTGGAGCCATCCTTCCTGAGCTAAGACAAAAATGTGTGAGGTGGAGGCTAAAAAACTGAGCTAGCTCACACAAACTCAGGTTAGAGGGAGCACTGCTGGTGACATTTATCATTTTCAAAAACCTCTTGTCCTAAAGCATAAGACTGCTTTTGTCTCCTCGTCTGCAGAGCACAGTCACGTTAAAAAAATTATTGTTTTCAGGGTTGTATTTAATAGTGACATCCTCCCTTGCTTCACAATCATTTCCCCTTTTGTTGTCTTTGTGTTGTCTGTCTCCATAAATCTGCATTGGCTTCCTTTGGTTTTCACCATCTGCACCAAGCGTCTGGTCCTTATAGCTAACAGGTTCTCCTCCTGGCAATGAAGACTCCAGTGGCCTCTCTGTAGGCTCTTCCGTGGTTACTTTGCTGCATGCAAGTGCCTGCTAACTGCAGTCCTGCACCACCTTTAAGGCATCCCACTGCTAGCTCTTGCATGAGCCCTCGTGCAGGGCTTCTGCTTCTGCCAGGGGGAGTGAGTTGCTTGATTTCGTGAAGAAAGGTGCAGAAGTGCCTCTGTTTAGAACAAAGAGCCTGCCAAGGCACAGCATACTTAGCACAACAGCACTGCATTGAGCAGATGTCCTGCTACACTGGTTTCTTATAGAAAGCCCATAACAGATTCACTGTCTTCAAGCAGATGTCTCCCCTTCACTCTTCTATGACACATAGGTTTCCTGTGCAATCCACATATCCTTCCATGGGTGATCTTGTTTGCTTGCACTATTTTAGAATTTGATACCCATTTGGTATATGGGAATCTGTTTCCCATAATTGCATAGTGGCCTTTGGGGGCCTGATCATGCCTATAGTTTTGCAGTTTATTTTGTGTTTTGTAGGATGGAAGCAATCTGGGTCTCCACTTTCAGTCCGGACATGTATACACAAAGGAATGGGAGTACAATTGCTTGGGCATTAAGGGTTTTTAGTCTTTTGTGTTTATCCTGTGGGGCTTTTGGAAGCTCTTGAGTCACTGCTTTGCTGTTTTGTTGGCTTTTGTTCCTAAAAGCATAAATTATGAGCAGTATAGGCATACCATATCAATCTCAGCCCCCCAGAGAAAATTACTACTGCATCCTTCTTTATGAAATGTCTTCCTCAATAATGTACAGGGTTCTGCCTCTGAAGGTCTGTATGTTAGAAACATAGAGCTGGAAATGACTCCAAGGGTCACCTAGTCCAATTCTCTGCACAATGCAGGAAATGTACAGCTACCTCCCACTCCCCCAGTGACTCCTGCTCTATACCCAGAAGGCATGTTGGGCAGTCACTTGAGAATCAGTTTGGCATTTGGGCATTGATACCTTGGTTGGTGCTGTTACTTGACAGAAAGATGTCCCAGTTGGGAATTGTAGCTCAATTGACATTTGGTGGATGAATCACAGGCAGGAATTAAAATTGCTGGGGAAAAGATCAACAACCTCAGATATGCAGACGATACTACTCTGATGGCAGAAAGTGAAGAGGACCTAAAGAGCCTCTTGCTCAGAGTAAAAGAGGAGAGCGCAAAAGTCGGCTTGAAGCTCAACATCAAAAAAACTAAGATCATGGCATCCGGCCCCATCACTCCTTGGCAAATAGAAGGAGAAGTTGTGGAAGTAGTGACAGACTTCACGTTCCTGGAATCCCAGATCACCGCAGACTGTGACAGCAGCCATGAAATTAAAAGACGCCTGCTCCTTGGGAGGAAAGCGATGGCGAACCTAAACAGCATGATAAAAAGTAGAGACATCACCCTGCCAACAAAAGTCCGCATGGTCAAAGCAATGGTATTCCCAGTAGTCATGTATGGCTACGAGAGTTGGACTATAAGGAAGGCCGAGCGCCGAAGAATAAATTCTTTTGAACTATGGTGCTGGAGAAGATTCTTGAGAGTCCCAAATACTTTGGCCACCAAATGAGAAGGGAGCACTCACTGGAGAAGACCCTGATGCTGGAAAAGATTGAAGGTCAAAGAAGACGGGGACGGCAAAGGATGAGATGGTTAGACAGTGTCATAGATGCAACGAACAATAAATTGAGCCGACTTCAGAAGATGGTGGAAGACAGGAAGGCCTGGTGTGATCTGGTCCATGGGGTCGCGAAGAGTCGGACTCGACTGTGCGACTGAACAACAACAAAAACCCACCCTACGTAGGGGTATGCAATTTTTTTTCTCTGTATATTTTTGGTTCGGGTCTCTCCCTGCAGGCTCCACTGCAGGCCCAACAGAGCCTGCAAAGCAGCTGATCCTGTGTGGAGAACTCTCCCTGCAGGCTCAGCTGGGGCTCTCTTTGGCAGTTTGGTTGAATAGCCCAAAAGAGCCCCATCTGGGCTGGTGGGGAAGAGTGCCCCCTCAGCTGTTTTGCAGGCTGTTTTCTGAAGACCCTTTAAACACCTCCTATTTAAAGGGGCTGCAGAAGAAAGCCCCAAAACACCTGAGTGACTAGAGCAATCTGCTCCATCCCCTCAACTGTTGTTTAGGGTTTGCTGGTAATTCCTGAATATATCTGGGATTTTTGGGGGGATTTCCCCCCCAGTTATCCCAAAAATCCCGGATACATTTGGGATATCGAAAAATGCCAAAAAGGTTTGTTTGGGGATATATTTTCAGGTCAGGTAGACCCAAATGCACACCCCTAATCCTGGGATTAACACCTGTTCTACATCCCATTAGGGGCTGTGGTTCAGTGGAAGAGCCTCTGCTTTGTGTGCAAAAGGTTCCATGTTCAATCCCTGGCATCTCCTGGTTAAAAAGGACCAGGGAATAGGTTATGGGAAAGGCTCCTACCTGAGACCCTGGAGAGCCGCTGCCAATCTGAGCAGACACTGCTGACTTTGATGGACCAGTGGTCTGCTTCTGTATAAGGCAGCTTCATTTATTTATTCTGTGGTATCTTCAGAGGCCTGGGATACAGAGAAGGTTCCCGGTAAGGCTCTGCTGCTGGAATGGCGTGTGCTTGCACTAAATATACATCTTTATGACTGATGCCATTTTTTGGAATATTTATAGAGAAAATGTTCAGCTGTCTCTGTAGTGGTAGAAGAAGTAGAGGCTGAAGGTTGTTTCACTTTTGTCTTGGTCTTCCTCCAAGGAGCTCAGGGTTGTGCACTTGGATTTCACCTCCTTCCGTTTTATCTTTATGATGACTTTGTGACGTAGGCTAGACTCCAAGATTGTCATTCTCCTAAGGTCACCCATTGATAGGGTTGAAGATTTTGGGAGTGGAGCCTGAGGAGGGTATGGTTTAGGGAGGGGAGGGACCTCAGCAGGGTATAAAATGTCATAGAGTCCAGTCTCCAGTGGCCATTTGCTCCAGGGGAACTGATCTCTGTTGTCTGGATATCAGCTGTAATCCCAGGAGATCTTGAGCCACCACCTGGAGGTTGGCAAGCCTCCCCACTGAGCTTCATGGCTGATCAGGGATATGAACCTCAGTCATCCCATCCTAGAACACATTATTCATTTGTACTCCTTTTCTCTCTATATAGAAAATGAGAGCATGTAAAATGGTATATCTCAGCACTTAAGAGGGAAGGCAGCAGTGCTGAGGACTTTCTTTCACTGTGGAAGTATAAGGTTGCAGGATTCTAACAAAACTTTGAATCTTTTTTTTAAGTGCATATTCATTTTGCTGCTGTATTCACAGTAGGGATATGAGATATGTGAATTATGCAGAACAGAGGAGATCATGTAAATATGCCTGGTTCAGAGTCTAACAACTGAACCTGCTTTTAGCCATAGTACCAAGCACTCCCTCCCGCCTCCAAACAAATAAGCTCATGGATTTTTCCCCCTGTTGTCTTTTACCCAACTTTCAGTGTTATAGACAACTACTGTCCGTGTTGCAGTAAATGAAAACAGGTCTATTTTATAGGCAGGTATTAATAGGCAAGTGTAACTTAACTGCTTTGTTTCATTATTATTTTACAATACCATCTATGTATGTGGCTCTTTTATATAAGCAGAAGAGGCTCATAGCCCCATATAGCTTATTAGCCAAATATCCACAGTGTAGACTTCCTTCTAGTTAGGAGTGAGGGCTAAGATATTAAATCGCAGGCTTCACAGAATAGGTGAATTTTGAACTGAGACTTGAAATGGGGTTGGAAGGAGAATGGCATGCAGGCATTCTGAGATGGCGTTTCAGACCGGAGGTTTAAGATTCTCTGCTAGAAGTAGAATCAGAGAGAAATTTTTTTACTGGTAATTGGAAGACCACTAATTAGTGAAATAAAATTGTTATATTTCCTTGTTTTGGAATCTAGGTTGAGACTTCAACAAACACACCACCATGTGAGGGGCTATGTTGAACACTGCAGTGGTCACATTGTAGTCTCTGCTTCCACCCAAGAGTGGGCCATCAAGAAGTACCTTCATCGTACAACAGGTGTGGCAGCATGTGTGAATGTCGGCCGCGTGCTAGCTCAACGTTGCCTTGAAGCAGGAATCAGCTTCGTGGACTTCCAAGTTATAACGCCATGGGAAAAACATTGTGATACGGTAAGTTGATTATTTTCGGGGGCAGGGGGTTAGCAAACTAAACACTCTAGATACTGTCTCTCATCACAGATCTGGCTGGATAACTGTTTGCTTGCAAGGGCTGAGCAGCAGTAAGACTATAGTGTTAAATGCTTCGGCTAACAACGTGCAATCCTGCTCAGTGAATTGTCTCATAAAGTGATGTCCATGTAGTAATACAATGTCAGCAGTGCACTAGTACACTCTTAACATGAGTTGTGCAGTATAAAGAAAAAGAGAAGACGAGATTGAATTTATACCCTGCCCTTCACTACCCAAAGGAGTCTCAGAGCGGCTTACAAACTTCTTTCCCTTCCCCTCCCCTCCCCACAGCAGACACCCTGTGAGGTAGGTGCAACTGAGAGAGCTCCAACAGAAACTGCTCTTTTTCAAGAATACCTCTGACAGAACTATGGCTTGCCCAAGGTCACCCAGCATCTGCAAGTGGAGGAGTGGGGAATCAAACCCAGTTCTCCAGATTAGAATCTGCATACTTAACCACCACACCAAACTGGCTCTTT